TCAAACCACAAGCTTCGTCATCAATGACTGTGTGCTGGGATTCTTCCTTTAGCTGCCTAATCAGAAACTGCTGTTGAACAGTCAGTACAAAGTTAATCTAAAAGGTTTGTACTTCATGACTTCTCCTCACAGACGACGGTGAAACCAAACTATGACCTTATCACTTTGCCAGGAATCTTTTTTTCCCCTCATAAAGACTAAATGAGGAAATGTGCACTGCACATCTGCATGATTATGGTCAACAGCTCTTCTTCATATGCATCTCAGTGGTTCATTATGGTTAAGGAACAGTCCTCACACTCTGGCCTTGATCTCTCTCGCTTCTCCATCTGCCACTCATAGCCTTTGTTATGCAGATGTTGTCTCTTCAGTTCTAATTATCACAATGTTTATTTACTATTGACAACTTCTTCAGGCAATTTTCTGTTATTCCCTTTGACATTTTGGGACAATTAAATTCAAATTTTCATTGTTACTATGCACAGATTTATTATACTCTAAGAGAATAAAAGCAGAACTAAATAAACTTCTTTTAATCCTGTAAATATTTAAGTTGTGTATATATTAAATTCAATGAATCCACAATTCTGTTTTCACTTTCACTTTGAGAATGGTGTGAATGCATTTTACTGATGAAAAGGCATAAAGATTACAAATGGGCCATAATACAGTTGGATAGTTAAGTTTGCTTTTTGACAACATTTCCCTCATTGCTTGACCCATAAAAGTACTTTCTTAATAAGGCTTACATGGTTTGTTTGCCTCGGGTCTTATCATATTGGCTATTCTGCATTCACCTCATTTTTACCTCTTTATCAGACCTACCGGGTTTGATAAAGCGAGTGACTTCTCAGCTGTCCTGAATAATGACAGAATTGCATTTGTTGCCTTTCTTCATCTTTGTCTGATTCTGCTGGTATCAAACTTCTTGCTGACAACTTTGTCGTGTATATATAACAAAATATCTTGTTTGTTAAAGTAGTGAAACAAAAAATGGGCTCTCGACCAGTTTACTTGGTATGGGCTGCTCAGCCTAACCACAAAGTTCTTGTCTCGTTTTATCCCAGGGACTTCATCTGACTAAATATCTGGATTTGAACTACAAACTCAAAAATGCTGAAAACTAAGTGAATTTTCCCCAAGAAGGGAGAGTAATCATATTAGCAATTGCATTATAGGAAATATAGGATCCAATTTTGAATCTGTTTTTGTAAAATGGTCTCTTGTGAGCTTCACTTATTGTCTTAATGTGTTTAGATTTTTATTTCATTAGGTTGGTTCTTGTAGATGAAAAAAGGTCCAAATGCGTGACTATATTCTCTTTATGATTAAGATTATAAGATTTAATTTGGAATGGCAAAAGTCCACGAATTCGTAAAGATTTCATGCAGAGGACTAGGCCAATGGGTGGATTAGCCTTGCCAAACTTTCAGTCTTATTATTGGGCAGCAAATATTCGTAATATGCTGTACTGGATGAGTAATGTTACTACAGAGATTCCAGCTTGGCTCCAAATTGAGTCATCCAATTGTGGCAAAATTTGCCTATCAGCTTTGTTGAGTTCAGCTCTCCCATTAGAACTATACACCTATAAACGTAACCCTTTGTTGTATGACTCGCTCAGAATCTGGGTGCAATGTAGGAAAAGGTTGGGGTTACACTTAATGTCAATTAAAGCACCTATCTGCTCAAATCATATGTTCCCACCCTCCATGATGGACTCTGCCTTTAAAATATGGGAAAGTAATGGCCTTAGAAATATCAAAGACCTTTTTGTAGATGGGATTTTTGCCTCATTCACGCAGCTCCTGAAGCAGTTTAAGCTGACCCTCTGTGTAACAGATGTAAAGCAGAAACAGGTTCGCTCCTTCATACCTTTTGGACATGCCCCAATCTTCATACCTATTGGGTGTCTATATTTAACACTCTGTCAGAGATGTATAACGTTAAATATGATCCTTCTGCTCTAACGGCTATCTTTGGGGTGATACCTCAAGACACATTTGTTTTTTGTTGTTTTGTAGGGGTTTCTTTGGTTTGTTTGTTTGTTTTTTCCTTCTCTATTTCTGTTATCTTTTGGGGTATTGTAAATACTGAACAGCAAACTACTGTATGTTCAATGTTTTGTTGTTAACATGCTGCTGTGACTGAAAATGAAATTTATAAAAAAAAAAAAAGATTATAAGATTTAAAGCCAGATAGTTAAAGAAAAAGTTAAACTGCTGTTAACTGATAAAAACTTATATTTATAAATATGAACCATTCAGTAATAACGTCTCTCATGGACCAGCTTTTGCTAAATCTGCCTCAGATGGAGTTTCCAATCTCTTCAATTTCCCCATATTCTTTTTAATGTCCTCCAGATAACAGATGTGAACTTCATTTTTTTCCAAACTTAATTCAACTGAATTGGAAAAAAATTAAATATAGCATAAACACTGGCCAATTTTTAAGTAAATACTGCACTTAAGTATAGTCACTTCTATTTTCATGTTTAATTTTTCTTTCACTTAAAACAGGCCCGTTCTTGACCTCCATTCCTTTGTACACTGTAAGCATAATTAAGACTCCACGGCTCACCACACAGGCACCTGCACCCATACGCTGCACGCATCAGCACACTCACACCTGCATGTTTGCTGTGATCTACCTCACACTAATAAAAAGACTTTCCTGCTTTTGAACCAGAGCTCTGCTTTCCCAAGCTGAAGGTATGCAGCTTTGCTGCTTAGGCCTGTGTGTTTGTTTTAGTTTTAAGAGTCTTCACTGATGCTGTCACCGAATTATGCAAGCAGACTGCCCATAGCATCCCAACCCTATGGGCAATCTGAGACTAACAGGTTGATTTGATAAGATGGATTAAAGCTGCATAGCTAAGCTTCTATAAAAGCTAAGCATTTCCTCCCACTGGGAAAACTGATTTCTTAGTTTAAACGTTTTAGGAAATGATCCCTGCAGACCACGAGACTCATCATTCCTGGTTTTACGGTTTTAAAAAACATGAAATATCTTGTTGCACTCATAAAAAAGGCTAACTTATTATGAACCTTAATCCTGTCTCTCTATAAAGGCAGCATCGTTCATAAGAAGCTGTTTTTAAGTCCATTATCAGTTTTTTTTTCATCTAAATAATTCAGATAGTTTGTGCTTAAATTTGGTAGAATAAACAATGTTGCACTAATTAATTACAACTGATCATCACACATCCTTAGCATCCAACGGTTTATCCACCAACTCACTGTTAAACTATTGAAGGACTCATACAAGAATAAAGAAGCTGTTGGTCTTCCAAATTGCACAGACAGCAGGAACTGCAAAATTGAAAAAAGGCTTTTTAGTCTCTCAATTACTCGTGTTCCTCAGTCTTGAGGATTGTTGTGCTATTGCATCATGGAACCTCAAGAGAAATGAGAAAGGAGCAGGTCTATGCAGGGAAATTAGCTCAGCCGTTCACTCCTGATATCAACGTGGAAAGTGGGTGGTGTGAATTATGGTATTACAGCAGCTGTGAGAAATGTTAGAAGTAATCACTGTGGAGTGAGTGGGGGTTTCAGCAGGCTGACTGTTGCTCCTTGGGGCCTAATCCATGCCAGAAGGAGGATGAAGTGGGATGCAGAGGGAGTTTAATTTGATGGGATAAAGCTGATGGAGATGCTCAGATTTTCAGTGTTATCCCTGTTTTTATGAAAAGCTTTTGTCTCTAAAGAATCAAATTTCAGAGGACCAAGAAACCACATTTTCACACTGGCCACCCTGTATTTTGGAGTTTATTCAATGTGGTTTTGAAACTGTTTACCAAAGTTGAGACTGATAGACTTTCACAGCCTGGCAAGGTACACAAAATCTTTCAGCTAAAGTTACAATAGGAAGAACTTCACGATAAAAGGGCAGCTCAGAGTATCAGCCATCGTAATTTCAAAACTCATCTTTGTTTTGATTTTCTAAACACCCTAGCACGTGTAAGTGATGTAGCTATATAAGGAGGTGCCACCTGAATCAGGCCCCAAAATATGCAAAGTAACAAGTACTGCGTCCAGTTATACTGTAGGAAAGCCACACACTCCACCTTGATCCTCTCATTATTTGAACAGTAGGAAAACAGTTATAAAAGGAGCAACAAAGAAGTGATTAAGCAAAATTCACTGTGGCTCTTTCCAGAGAACAATCTTGACCACAGCACACTGTGTATGGAGGATGGGTGGGGTGGGTGGGGGGGTTCAAAGATATTGTGAAATAGTTCCAGTATGTGAGAGTATTACATATTCACCCCCTGTGAGTCAGCCCCTCGCCTCTGACCACAAATATTACAGTGCATCTGTGCACTGAAACAATGGTGTTCCCCTTCACTTCGCATCACTTATTTCCCCCTGTGCCTGGACAGGGCGAAATAAGAACCTTGAACAAGCAAAGCAGTGTGTGTGAGAGACTGAAGATAGAAAAAAGAAAAAAAAAGAGCGATGGAGAGACATGGCAGTGACAAAAATCTGTTCCTGCAAAAGGAGAGGTCCAGGAGCCGGGATGCTGTGCCCAAGGAAAAGTTGAGTAAGCTCAGTAAGTTATCATTGATTTCATGTTTTACAAGTTAGATTTGGCCAAACTCAAAGTGTAAAACCAGCAAATTGGTGGGATTAAGCTTTACAAGCCCAGATGGAGATTGGGTTTGGAGTGTTCTTCTCTAAACAGTGAATCAGATGAAACTTTAACACCAAAAGCCAAATTTCTCATTTGATTTAAAGTCATCTAATTTACCCACTCAGCATAAGTTTAAAAAAAAAAATCTTGAATCAACTGTTACATCTTATCTACTAAAGGCGCATTAAAGAAATATCTCGGCATATTTCAGGTTTACCAGCAGTCTGTAACTTATCCCATTCGTTCTATTTTAAGTAGAATCTAATCAGTTTGACACACTTTTACTTTCGTAATTAATGCAAGTATCGTGTTTCAAACTGCTACTTCCATGAAAGTGTGAGGCACCAGACCCACAGGGATGTACTCACCCGTGACCCAGGCTTCTGTGCCGACACTTGAGGCAGGTAACAGAGGAACAGAGGCGCCATAAAGTAGGAGACGGTAAAAATGAGGAAACTTGATAATAACATAATTGAGCGTCGGTGAGCGCAGAGCGAAGAGCGGCAGGTAGTCTGAGCGCACAGCGTGTCCGTCTGTAATACTGATGATCGACAGGTCCAAACCGAAAAAAATATATATTAGTACGCCCCAAAAAGACTCCTTAACCCTAATTTCCGGTTAATAATTCTCCTGTGTCTACTCCTCCAATAACTATTCACATAGTGCCACGCGTATGATCGGGAATCAGGACTTGGCCGTCACCATTGTGATTGGTTTTATCCACTGCGGGAGGATCAGCTGTTCATCGCGGCTTCCACAGGTTGAGTCGCGCCTGTATCCATTGCACCTTCATTTAAAAGCAAAGGAGGGAGCAGTCGTTTCTAGCTGGCACTCGGAGGACCCAATAGCAGCGGCCGGTGGCGGGAAAGCCACGCCCACCTCACCCCAAGATTAACTGTTCGCGGAGGAGAAAGACCTGCTCCGGTCAGTTAGGAGATAGGACCAGGAGAGGCAGCAGCTGCAGGAACACTCAGTGTATTATCATGAGTCTTTGAGAGCAGAGACAATGGCCGAGCAATTGTGAGGTCAAATTTTAGGTTCTCATCCCCATTCTGAGACATATAATGCTCTATAATAGCCTAGTATCCTGCTGCCGTGACATTTAGCCTGCGTACTTGGGTTACAATGGAAAACATCTATTGAGTAAAGTCAATAGCTGTCACAAGCACTGCAGGGGGGCAGTCTGTGTTTGTAGATTTTTTTGTGTGTGTGTGTGTGTGTGTGTGTGTGTGTGTGTGTGTGTGTGTGTGTGTGTGTGTGTGAGTGTGTGTGTGTGAGTGAGTCGTTGTGGGTTTTAGTTGGCAGACGATTCGTTGTTTGATAGAGCAAAAAACAACTGTTTGTGTCACTTTATCCCCAATTACATGGTCATAATGTAACACATTTCATAGAATAAATGGGGGTTTTTTCTGGTAGAGAACCTATTTGGTTTGGGGGATTTTTTTCAAAATAAACTGGCTGACCTTAGAGCCGTTCTGCATTGTTGCAACCCTTTTGTCACTTATATATACGTTTGGGTTTTTCACATTTAACACTTAAGTGGAAGGTTTAAGGTTGTTATGAAGCACTTTAATATCGCAGTATTGTTGCTTTGACAACCATAAATATTCTCAGTACTTTTCCACCAACCTGAGCAGGAAAGCACACTTAGTGCATTCACAAAACATGCTTCCACACTGTAATCGGCCTGCAACCTCTCAATTTCTGGCTCTCACATCTTCCTCGCCTCCGTGCTGTCCATTTCTCCATCTTTTCCTTTCAATAAATTGTGAGGCCCATTAAGAAGAGAGAAGCAGTGTTTAGTGCAGGTGTCCCGTCACCCTTTACTGGAACGGGTAACCCCACCCCCACCCCAAATCCCCTTCTCTCGCTCTTTGTCCCTATAGATATTTTTTAATTGTTGGTTTTGACAGTTCAGCGGCTTTTTGAGTGCCTCAGAGAAGAGCCTTGTAATTAGAGCTATTGAGCTTCTGGAATTGGCACAATTAGGGTCAGCATTAATTATTCCTCTGTGCTCTGGCCAGTTTCTGTAAAGCACTGTTTGCAGAAAAGATGCCAGAGGAGGGTCACTCCAAATGGGAGAGATAAAAATGGATGGGGCAGTTGTACAAAAGGGAGAAAAACCGAGGCCTAAGTGGTCTCAAGATAGTGAATTATCTGAATTCTTGCTTATCGGACCACCATAGAAACTCAGCAAAGCGTCCGTGTAGTATCATTATCAGAGCTGTGAGAGAAGGGATGCGCCTCATTCCAAGTTGTTTCCCACCCCAGAGACTTAACCCAACTACCCCTCCCGCTCTGTGCCAGCCGGTCCACTCATGTCCTTGTGTGAGTGGAGTAATGCTGTGGGAGGTGAGGATGAGGAGCAGAGAGGGTCAACGGGAGTGTCTCTTGGAATGTTAACGAGATCAGTTTATATCTGCTCTTCCCTCTCACTTCAACCCGCCACCCTGAACAATGAAGACAAAGTTTTCAGGGCTGCAAAGCCGTTGTAGTGAAAGCATGGCTTGACACTTTAATTCTGTTGTCATTTGGCCGAACATAAAAGAAAACCTCTGACAACAAAAACAAAAGCAGGAATGAATGGGCATGCTGAAAGAAAATGTACATCCCAATTACTGCAGTGGCCCTTCCAAAGACGCCCCAGCCGCCGGTCCCCCCACCGGCTTACACCAACTACATACGGCCGAAAATTAGCGGGTGTGTGCAGACACAGAAACAGACAGAGCAGCACTGAGGCCACCCAGAGATCTGACGGCCTCGGGAGAGGAGCAGGTTTAGCACAGATGTGCCGCAATGATGTCACGTTGCCTAAAAGTACAGTTTAGGTGCACATGCAGTTCAGATGTAGTATGATAAATGCTGAGAGGAAAACAAGTTGAAGAGAGGCAAAAACTGCTACTTGTCGTTCATTTTTCCAGTTTAATGCTAAATAACTACATTTTTGTCTAAATAAAATCAGCATTTGCATTTGTCGTGTGTTTCAGTAGATTCTCATTGTTCTTCTAATAACGAAATCCATGAAAACCTATTTGTGACTTTTATTCCAGTGTTTAAAAAGTTCCTCCTTTTGTTTATTGTAGCGATATTTCACCCTCACCTGTACAACAATAAAAAGCTGATTATTAGTTGATTTACCAGTAATTTAGGAAAATCCGAAAAGGCCTACTGTAATTATCGACCAGTCACCCAACAATACAGCAACCATATACCGAATCTGTCTCTGGGTTTGGGATTTTTTTCATCCCTGAGGTTCTTCAAGTGCTGAACTTATTCAAATTATTAAAGTATTTGCAACTCCCATGTTGCTTCACTACTTGTTTGGCATTCATTTTTAGTATCTCCTACGTTCCTCTGTGAGGACATGGGGTCTCAGAAGGTTTACTTCACTTCCCACACACCTCCATACCGATACAGTTGTTTTTTTTTACATTGGAGAATATTATTTGACTTTGTTTATTATTTGTACTATTAAAGCAATTGCTTTAATAGTACCTCCACTGCAATCAGCTTTAGAAAAGCTTTGCTTGTATTTCACTGTATCAGTAAAAATAAACCAGTTATTTCAGATTTATTAAAATGTTAAAAAAAGGAGGCATACTTCAAGATTAGTATTCTGTGCTTGCAGTTGTAGTTCTATTACTTGTATTTCTGCTACTTTTACACCCACATGTAGTGTCTGAATACTTTTTCAGGCAGTGCATCTGTTTGATGAGTGTGTGATTGCACTTCAAAAGGCAGAATACAGTTGAAGCATTGAATGAAAGACAGAGAGGAGCGGGCGGCTTGTGTGCTGAAGGGGAAAATCGAAGGTCAGATACAAAGCCTTCTCTTTTTAAAGTGTCATCTGGATTTCATTTCATAAATTCCATATATTTTACATGTACTGGCCGCAATTTTCACTAGCTCCTGAAAACAAGGAGGAGGGTATAGCCCTTGGCTGGCCAGCATTTCTTATTACCCTCTTCAAGTACACACTTGCACACAAACATACACACACTGACAGTGATGTAGAAGCATGTCTGGTGATGGAAAAGCATAGCAACAAATAAATAAGCCCACAAAGCCAAATTATCTATGACATTAATCAGAGATGTGAGGGATTTTTACGCAGTGAGAGAGTGAAAGAGAAAGTGGCAACAGAGAGCCACGGGTGTGAAAAGGCCTATTGAGTCTGGAATGGGGTGTCCCGCACCTGCGCTGTCTATTCACCCCACTGTTTACACACTGTCATCCACAATTAATACCTCCTGGGGACTGGGCTGCTTGCCCTCTGCAGGGCCCCCGGACCCATCCAGGCCCTTATGGATGCCTAATTGAGCATACCACTCTCCTGATTGAATTAACAGCTATGTCTCTGGGACCTTTTCCCCTTCCACTAAGGAGGGGGACTGTTCCACACCCGCATGAGACCCCTGTACCATCCCACAGAATAGACAGCAGGGAGAGAGGGGGTTGGTGGCTGAATATAGCAAAGGGCTAGAAGCGGGAGTTGAAGAGGTCTAGAAAATGTGGCCCTTTCTGTTGGCAAACCAAGGCTGGAAATGTGAACTGGGGGCAATGAAAGGTCTCAATATTCGCAGGGCCAGTGAGTTCCAGCAGGCATGTAGTACTGTACACGCACGCACACATGCACGTACACATATTTGAGTGCTTGCGCAGCACTAAGTTTCCCAAAATCCAAGTAATCAATCTTGCATTTTATTTTGCTGTTATGATATTTCTTGTTCCTTGTATTTTCTTTGTTTGTCTGTCAGTGAGGCACAAAAATTTACAAGAGCAAGTTTCATGCAAGTTAGTGGAGAGGTAAAGCCCTCCAAAGGAAAATTGGAATTTAAATGCTGGTGCAAATGCTGCTCAGTCAGACAGGGTGCTGTGGTATTGTGTGGCCTTGGTTGATATGTTGAGCAGAGACGAGAAGGCAGAGGAATACTGAAAAAAAGCTATGCGATTGATGTATATGGTTTTGTTACTGATCTATTATTGCATAAGCAGCAACCTAATCTACTCTTTGATTGTGTTATTTAATAATGATCCTTTATAATCGTCTACTCAAAATTAACATAGTTCTCAAAATGAACATCAACACAGCAACCTGTAGTGTTTGATCACCGACTGCAACAGTCTGGTTGTAATCACTTTAAGAGGGATTTTTTATTTTTATCTTGTGCTTTTATTGATAGTGAAACAGCTCAGTCTGAACTGCTCTGCTGCAAAACTATGTGAAGTGATTTTTTTAAAGAAGAAGAAGAAAAGGAAAAATATGTATAAGTGTTAGAATAAGTATATATTTATTCAATGATGTGATTCTGGCTTCATCAAGCTATGATCTCCAGCTTGGACTGGAGCTCTTTGCATCTATCAGAATTAGCGATTCCAAATCTGAGACCCAGTGCCCACTCTTGGTTGGGAATGAGCTCCTTCACGGCAGATTCTGAACACTCTGGAATGATTATGTCTCTTGGGAACACCTTGGTGAACCCCAGAGCTAGAGAAGGTTGCAGGAGAGAGGGAGGTCAGGGCATCTCTGCTTAGACTGCTGACCCAGAAAAGTAGAGGTGGGTGGATGACCAGTATTGGCAGATGAATATATCAGTCATGCTCTAATATGAATCATTTCTAACTGGAAAACTATCTGGTGTTTTACAGGAAAACTGGAAAATAGGCAATCATGACAGAATAACCAGCATTCACTGTGCTTCATTATTGTGGTCGTCATTGTGACCCTTCCTGTTCATCTTCTGAAAACCTAATATGAGCTCCCATGCTGCTAGGTTGGAAACCACTACAGTAATCAGTGTAATAATATGTATCCTAAAAATTAAAAAATTATGTCCACATGTTACTTTGTTGGCATCAAGCAATAAAAAATGTTTCGTTTAGGATTTGAATTCTAAAATTCTCTAAAGCCTTTTAAATATTAGAGGAAGCTTATGCGTGAAGTAACAATTAAAAAATAAGATTTTTTTCTAACGAGTTTAAGAAAAATACTGCAAGTTTGTCAGATCTAATATGTTTCTTATTAATTATGTTTGCTGTTTTTGAATAGGAAACATATTAAAATATAAAATGCATCCAAGAAAGCTTAAGTTTGGTTCACTGCACTTGTCTAGACAGCTGTACACACTCACTCCTTGTGTTCAACCCTTAGCAAACACGGGTACAGTAAGCTCCTGGCTCGATGCACTACAATAGTAGTAAAATATAATAATGTGGAAAATCAGAAGCTCTCTGGAGAGATGGAAATGTACCGAGGCCTTTTTATTTCCAGGTCGGTAAAAGAGTTTGCCATGTCTCTATCCATACTTGTCAAAGTTCTGCACACATGTCCAGCTGAAAATCTGATCTGCCTTTGAAGGGAAATGAAATGGGTGAATTCATTTCAGCTGAGGCTGCTGACTGTCAGAGTCATGTAGCCAAAAGTGCGTAATCTCTCAGTTCCTCTTTCGCTATAATTTCCTGGCTGGATTTATCTATTGGCTCTGTGTAAAAATAGCCTTCCTTAAGTGGCTTGAACGGGACGTAGATCCTCGTAACGGCACAGATACTGGCTCACCTGTGTTTTTATAACTGAGTTCCTAAATCGAACAGATGCTTTTGAGGATCTGTCTTTCAATAGATCCTCAAAAGCAGAAGAGCTGATACAGAATCACTTTCCCAATCAGGATATATTAAGGAAAATCTTTGAAATATTCAATATGTTGGTTGTTTCATAGTATTTATGGTATACCACATTAAAGATCTGGTGGTCTATAACTTTATTGGTTGAAAAATACTTAAAAATGTATCTAGAATAAGGATTTTGGCATCTCCAGGTCGGATCCTACATGATGTGGTGGAATGCTGGGTTCTCACCACTACATGGGCTGTGTACTGGTCTCCATGACTGCACCAAGCAGCTCACCTCTGGATGAACCCCCCAGTTCAGCTTTGGTGGTTGGGAGCATGCCCTACCAAAAACAAAAACACAAACACAAAATTTCTGCAGAGCATAACCCTGCACCAGTGAACTGTGCAGCAAGCACACCATGCACCGCTCTCCTTTGGCTCCCCTCGCAGACCCCATGCCCCCAGTTAACAAGCCAGCCAGCACGTTCCTTGTTGTCACTTGTTACCCGCTGTCCTCCCGATACAGCTTGCGGGTGGGGCCAATTAAACTCGCACTGTTCCCCACAATGGGTCAGGAGTTTAGTGGGTCATCATCAGAGCTTTTTTCACCCAGAGTTATCTAATCCTGAAGCTCTGGACCAAACCAGACCAGTCTATATGCAGAAGAGGGCTTTCAATTAATCAACTGCATTTATTAGTGGGGTTGCATGTGGTGATCAAATCCATCAGACTCACAGAGAGAAATACTAATCTTTTTCAACTTCGACTATTTGTACTAGATCTGTGAGAACAATAGTTGTGTTACTACTGATGCCAGTTGTAGTACAGTAAGAAATAATGTTAATGTTATATCATCAGTATTAGTATAAAAATGACTTTCATAGGAAGTGAAAGTAGTAGTACAAAAGGTACAAGCAATAGCAAAATGTAACTGTAGTGGTAGTGTCAAGCAGGGGGGGTTACCTGATGCATTAGTATCCTATTCAACTAAAAGCCTAAAAGAGTTCAGGCTGTGTTGAAGGCCGTGTGTTGACTTTCAAGCTCATTAGTTTGGCACAAATTCTGCTTTTGCCTTAAATGCAGTATTTTCAGCATTTTTGCACATGTTTCAATTAATCTTTGCACCCATTTCTCATTGTCCTAGAAAAACAAGAAGGCAATGAGGGGTGGCTCGAGAGCTGTATTTGTAAGAATTCCCCAACTCATTAATGTGAGTGCGAATGGGTGAATGTAAGTGAATGTGTATAAGTATCAGTCCTTTTACTTATGTAACAGAGTGTTAAAAGTCTATTTCTAAATGCTTAATTTAGGCCTGAATTAACTACATGTTGGGAATATTCTCAAGAAATGTTGTAAAACTTTTACTACACCTTATCACTGATATCATGGACACTTTAAGGTGTAAAATAGAAAAATGATTACATACATTTCAAGTACAGTAATGTTTATCCAACTGACATTAATGTCTGAGAGTAAACCTTTTCACATCAGACATGATGGCTTCTCTGATCAGAACATCAGTGATGGTTCTAAATAATTATCCTATGACACTGTGACACTGAACCAATTCAATCATACCTCTAGCTGGCACATTAGTTTCATGAGTCAGGTTTTATTTTCAGTTGTGCTTTTCCTATATGTCTTCTGTAAAAAGAAAAACAAAACATTCAGGCCTAAATTAACTGTGATCATGCTGTAAACTAGGGTGACTGTAATTTGATCCAGTGTGTCAGTTTTGAAGTGTAAATGGCCTAATGGGGTGTTTATTCTATCATACTAAAATAAAATCCTCGATAACTCAGTATTACGACTGCTTGAGGTCAGATGACCTCCCTGAGACACCCTTAGCATAGATCTGCAGTGCTCTTTCGCCCTCTGGTGTCAATTTCGAGTAATTACATGCATTTTGATTTCACGCCCAGGAGTGGTGGCAGATGTCAGCTTTAAGAGAAAGTGCTGTGACTGGTGATGAGCCAGCCACAGATTAACAAAGACCAATTTTAAAATTCCACGCCTTTTTTATTCCATCAGTACTTTGGAAACATCTCCTACAAAATCACTTCTGGAAATGGAAAATAGACACGTTTTGGAAACTGGCTAATATTCATCTTCAATGGATAAACTGCGTGCGTGGTACAAAAGCAGGCCTGCAGGAGGATCTTTGCTCGGGGGTAACATTCAGCACCATTACGCCAGTTTAAGAGCTTGTAAGTGGAGTGGACAGGCGCTCGGATAATTGCAGAGCGCACTCAGTATTTTTAGCATATTTGCCACAAGCGGGCGGAGCCAAGGAGGGTGAGATGGAGGGATGCTGAAAAGCAGGTGGCGACCGCTGATGTTTACAGGATGAACTTTAGGGAGGGAGGATGAGGAAGGGAGGAAGCTGGATAGGAGAGTCGTCGTAGTGAGCAGATTTCACCGCGAGGACGGTTTTTATCGGTGTTTGTGATCGCGGAGAGTGCACATTTTCAGCGCCGGCGCTCAGAGGCTGACCGGCTGGGAAAGGCTCCGTCTGTGTCTGTCGTGTCGCCGGAGATTGCAACGATGTGATGCACCCATCTTCGGGGCGACGGCCGAAGCCTTTTGCCTGAAACCTGATATTATGCAGGAGACGAGGCTTTCTGGACGGATTAAAGGGGAACAAAGCACCGGTTTAGAAAACGTTTTGCGACCTGGCAGGTCAGTGCATGCTTGCGCGACGCAATACCGCATTAAATTACAGCCAAATCCACCGGATTTAAGCAGCTGTAATGACTGTTGTTGTGCACCAAAGCAATCAGCAATATCTCTTTTGTCATTTTTGGAGTTTTAACCTTGAACCTGAGCTGTTGGTGTTGACAGTGCGGAGAGGGTTTTATGCCAGCATCCTGCTGATATGCAGGAGAAAGGTCTAGGCCTTCACTGTTTGTTACCAGGTGTGATGAGTCCATGTTAGTGAGCATAATAGTGTCCAGTGGTTGTTTACTACTTTCACACTCCATGATATCACATTCTTTTTCCAAGTAAGCTTTTAGGATCAGGTGCTTAATAATTCATACCCCAGACGTCTGTGCGTTAAGCATTTGTAGGTTGATTGTGTGATGTAGAGTGAAAAAATATTGCTATGAGTAATCAGATTCTCTCAGCCCAGTAACTCTGCCGAAAATAGATCCCCCCGTTAAAGGACTGTGGTGTTTTTCTGTGTTGTATCTCTTCCCTGAAGGGGGAAAATGTCTCATCTGGTGTAAAATCAGTGAGTGCACGAATATGTGTTCATGCGTGCATGCATGCATCTCTGGACCTGTGTAATGACCCTCCCCCCACAGACTGCATCTCTTAAGCTCTTGTCTCAGTGCTATGATCCTCTAATTGAAACCTCTCCCCACTTTTTCATCTATTTTCTCTCCTGTTTTATTCTCCCCTGCTCACCCTGCCCTCTCTTTACCCGCAGCCAACTATGGTTGACCCCTCGGAGGCTGAGGAGCAGAATAAGTGTAAAGGCCCGCAATTCGACACACCAGCTGTGGCCACCGAAGACTCTCGACTGCCAGAAAACACAGATAGCACGACAACAGAGGAAGATGGGGATGCTGGTTTTGAGACGCCACCAACCGGCAGTTCAGAGCCAAGCCCCTGCCACACTGCATCTCCAGCGGCTCCAGAGGTCACCTCTCAGGACTCAGCACCTCAGCAACCACAGACTCAGACTGACAGCAATGTGTCTCCAAAGCTGCACCTGGATCTGTACAACTTTGACTCGCCGGCCGCAGAGGGCAGCCGATACGTTTTAACGAGCCCCCGCTCTCTGGAGGCGTGTGCTCGATGCGGGGTCAAGCCTGTGGAGCTGCTGCCTCGCCCGCTCTCTGACTTTGCCCGTGAGGCTCCTGGCCGCTCAATGCGTGTCGCCACAGGCTTGTTTGAAGTCTTTGAGAGGGACAGGCATGCCAAACTTAGGCAGTGCAGGGAAGAGAGGGAAAGGATTGTTAGGGAGGAAAAACGAAGGATTCTTCAGGCAACGGTCAATAGCAGCAATGCATCTTCTGTGGATAAAATGTCCTCTGGCCTCACCCAGTCTTCTAAGTCTGGGCCAGTGACCTCCAGCTCCACCCTCAACGCTGGAACATCTTCTAGAGCCACAGCATCAGGTCAAGCCTCCAAAACAGGTGCAGCTCTTTTATCCAAAGCACCTGCCTCCACTCTTAGTACCTCCCCTAAATCTTTTCATGCGGGACCAACCACATCCTCAAAATCTGGCTCTACACCCTCTACACCAGTTTCCAAGAGTGGATTTCTAGGATCTGGAAAACATCCTCTGTCCTCATCCCCTGAATTAGTAAAGCCCACACGACCACTTTCATCTGGCCCCCCACCAGTAGTTCGGAAGTCCTCTGGTGGTAAATCTTCAAACACTTTTCCTAGACCAACACCGAAACCCCCTTCCTTCCCCAGAGCCAACTCCACTTTGACTTCATCAGCGTCAAAACCTGCAGTTCAGAGCTCTGGGATACCTCTGAACGGTGTAACAGGAGGACCATTTACACAGCACAACGGACATCTTGGATTTCATTCCAAGGTACGAGGAAAAAGCCATTCACTGGAATCTTTACAGCGAAGGATGGATCCCGTCTGCTCTTCAACCTCCACTACTACGACTACGACTACATGCACCTCGTCAGAGTCGGGCGCTTCTTCTTCTTACAGTTGGGATGGTGCACGAGAACACTGGGCTAGAGTCTCCAGTCCTCGAGCTCGCACTCTGGCCACTTTCAACTCCCTAATGGGCCGCAGCCTCAGCCTCGGCGATCTGAGCCACTCTCCTCAGACGACACAGAAGGTGGAGCGCATAGTAAAGGAGGTGAAGCGCAGAGGGCTGAAAGCTGTGTCTGAGAGAGACCGCAAGATAGCAGCTTTGATGCTTGCCCGATATCAAGAGGAAGACATCATGAGCCAAACCCGCTATGTGGCTCACCTTCAGTGGGATAGTGAGCGCAGGATGGAGGAGCTGCGTCGCGAGCAGGAGGAGCGAGAGAAACAGCGTGCCGTGCTTCAGTGTCAGAGAGTGTGGCAGACACAGGTGTCGCTGCGTCAGCGAAGACTCAGCCAGCAAGAGCGACAATCAGCAGCAGCCAAAATGCGACAGGTCGAGGAGAGCGAGGAGCGATGGAGGGAGCTTGCAGAACAGCAGGAGCGTAACCGCCTGCTAAAGTTACAGCAGGCAGCGCGAGAGGAAAAGCACAAGAAGGCTCTTCAGGAGCAGAACCTGAAGAGCCTGGAGGAAGAGAGGGCTGCCATGCTGGAGCAAGAGAGGCTGCTGCTGAATGAGAAGCTCACCATGGCTGAGCTGAAGAGGCAAGAGAAAGAGCACCAGTCCCAGGAGGAGAGGCGAGGTCTGAACAAAGCAGAGAAGAGACGTCACATCGCCCTGATACAGGAAATCGCCCGTAGAGAGAAAGAGGAGAGGGATGAGGCCAGGAGGTCAGCAGAGGACAAGCTCAGCCGTTCCCTTGAAAACTACGAACAGATAGTCGAACGTCGAGGGAAGGAGCTGAAAGAGAAGGCCAAGCGCGAGGAGAAGCAGATCCAGAAAGCACGCAAGGCAGCAGAGAAGCGCGAGAGGCAACAGCAGCAGCTGCTGGAGGCTCGCGTAAAGGAAGCAGAGAAACGAGCCCAGCAGGCAGCTTTGGTGGCTGAGGAGAGGGCCAAAGAGAAGGCGCAGCGGGCAGTCCAGAGCCGACAGGAGAAGGAGAAACTCCAGAAGCTCAACAGGCAGCGCGTGGAGGAGGAGGAGAAGCAGAGGCGTCTGGAGCTGCTGCAGTCCATCGAGAGGAAGCTGGAGAAGAGTGAGCAGATCTTCAAGGAGAAGAAGGCAGTGTTAGAGAGCGCCCGATCTGTGGCTAGAGCCTCTTTTCACGTGCGAGACAAAGTGCGGGAGGAGACCAACATGCGTACCTTTGATAAAATGGCCTTGGAAGCTCAGCTCAAAGCCAGTCTCGATGAGAAATAATCATAGCTTTGTTGTGGACTCCTTACTTCTGGTCATGTGCTTGGGTCCTGCCTTCATTATGGCCTCAGTCACTCAACAGCTTTACCTTTCTACCCATAAGCACCTGCAATGTTATTTTTTCCCTCACATATCTTTACCCATCAGCTGATTTTACTACATTTTTCATAATTTTTATTATCAACACAAACAAAATAATTTTGTATCGTGGATGTAATGAGACTACAAACTAACAGCAACGCCTGTGAAACACATGCAGTGGACTTCATGATAGACATGAGAGTTTTAGGACAGCAGCAAACCCCTTCTCTTTGCCTTCTGCTCCATCGATCTCAGCTACTGGACTGAAAGCTCTGCTGGAATGAAAAGAGTCATTGTTTACCAGGAAGCACAACTCCATGACAACTGCATAGGCTTTTAAGGGAGCACTCATGGAAGAGAAGAATAAGCATAAGAAAAAGAAAAGGCAGATCGCAGATGATCCTGGACCCTCAGAGCAAATGAGAGATCCTTTTGTACATGCACTGTGACACAGCATGAAAATAAAGCCCTGGGCTGAACACTTAACCGCTGACAATGCAGCAGTGGAGGGTCATGTGCACGATACCCGTGCTGATGAAAGCATCGGAGGACACTGACTTCCGCAGCAGGGCCCGTTTCACCGCCCTCTCAAGGTAACAAGAGGGAGGAGAAGCAGTGTGCAGTGCATCAGTGTCAGGACTCTCCTGGTCATGCCGATTACAGTAAAATAGTGATGCACTCTGAAAATGCCCTATCTGGCCACTGATCTGCTCCCACAGCCACCTGGTGACCACGTCAAGGTCAACAGGTACGAGTTTTTATTGCTTCTGCAGCTTATATAATACCTTCTGTTTTGTTGCAAAAAAAACAACAACACTTGGTCACACTGACACTGACTCAACAGCACAGAGGGAAAGAAAGACACACCGACTCGCATGCAAGCCAAGAGCAGGTTTTAAAGGCCTCTGGCTGCACTAATCCTACAATCTCAGATTAAAAAAAGGAGGATGTGCATAGTCTTTGCCCTCAGATGTAGCTGTTGCCATAGTGACATAAGTCAGGATGAAGCAGCAGGAGGTGAATTACTGAGAAGGGAGAGTGCGTGGGAATTTGAGGGGGCTGTCTGTGGGAAACTGGATCTTTTGGCAGCTCATTATTTGTGGGGTGTTACAGGAAAACTACTCAGTTCACTTTGTTATGTGTAAAATCTATGTGAGGCAGTGGGAAATTGCTGCAGCGTTCCCTCTCTTTACTTATTCAGAAGTCGACCTTCACCTGGAGAGTCAGCTGCTCTCCCTGCACGCAACTGCAGCCAGGAAGTAGACTGAACTGAGCAATTCGGGCAGTCACATGTTGGATATCTAAAGCCAGAATAAATATGGCCAGCAGAGGACTAACGGGCTTATGGCTGACTGATCCGCAGTGTTCCAAGCATATAATCATAGGGAGGTGATGTAAGGTCGGAGGATGAGACAGCATATCTGTATGTGCTCATGATGCGATCCAGAAGGTAAAGTCGGCAATCTAAAGTATAGTTACTGTCAAACACAGAGGGTGCTGCAAATCTAGTAATTATTAACAACAGAAATAAATAATAACTCGCCCTGGAAATATAGGAACTTGGTTTACATATTTGCCTAACAAGCCAAAGATCCCCAGTTTGATCCCATAAATCCCTTAGGGGTCGTGCCATGTGGTGCATCTGGTATAAAATAACATCTGCCAATTCAAACATGCAGCAGGCCCTGCTGTGATGACCCCTTTTGGCTAGAAGTAGCTGTTAAAGAGGATATTCATGTTATGGAGATGGTTCATTCCTGTAACACCATTTATCTGTCTGGATGGCGTTTATGTGCTATCATATTTTAAATGGTTTGCCCTTTTCTTGAATATAATGGAACCAGACGGCATTTGCCTTGTGCTGAAAGCACCATAAAAAGCCATTTGAATCAGTGTCTCTTTCCAAAATCACAATACAGTTATTCCGACATTTCCACAACCCTTGTTGTAACCAGTTTCAAGTAGGCACTATTTTATGTTTGCCGAACTACATTCACCAACCCTGTCATTACCCAAATTGTAGTTTGCCTCTAACAGCGAAGAGACGTTCACGCTAATGAGAGGTTCAAAGAATGCAAACATAGCTGACTCCCACCTCAGCTGATCAACTATATGCACACTTTTTTTAGTTAGTGCTGCAGAGCCAGTGCAGTTTTAAGTAGCTAATTGCTTTTTGTGTTGCTTTGAAGCAACACTTGAACATATATATATCAAATATATTTAATGTAACAAGTGAAGATACCATCTTTTTCTATAGACAATTAAATAATCAGTATCTGGTGTGCAAAAGATAAAAATACATGTTTTTTTGTTAAGGTAACACAATGAACTGTCTGAAATGCACATGCATGTTACCAACCAGATTTACTTCGTGATACTGAAAACGCAAACAAAATGTCTTTTAAAAAGGTATTTATTACTTGGACTTTGTAGTACAATGCTTGGGTAGACATTCTTGTTTTAGTACAAGTAATGAGCCTTCCTAAATAAAGCAGGAAATAGTATTTCATCATCAATTATATTCAAATAAAGTGCAATAACAACAGAAAAGGACAAATAATCAACCAGTTGCTTGTTGCTGAAGATGGTTCTTTATGGCTGTGTCTTTGAACTCATGTAAGTCTGCAAAGTGAATGCAGTCTGAACTAAAATGCCCAAATCTTTCATTGTACTCTGGCTTTAGATTTCTTCCTTATACTTATTTTTAACACTAGCCTTCATTAAACTTCTGTTTTACTGAAGACCAAACTGCACTGCCGATACCCACATTCATCGCCGTCTTATTTTTTTTGTGTTTCAGGTCCTGGTGATGAGCGTGAGCTGGTGATGTAACCCACAAGCCTCCCGACAAAACTGTTCCTCCCACACTGAGCTTTATCAAAGTGTAAAAAAAGCCTCTCCTGGTGGAAATACAGTCTTATCAGATCTAATTTTTTAGGTTTTTATTCAGTTTGTACCCGTTAACAGTGCCAACTATTGTTCTGCAGAGAAGAAGAATCTTCCGCCTTTTACCTGCATCAGTGAAACAACGTGTGCAAGGTTCAAAAACAGCTTTATTAGCATCAAGTCGTGTTTAGTCCCGTATGTTTCCTTCTCATCTTCCCCTTACATGTGGGCTTTGTTTCTGTATCACTTCTGGTGTTGAGTTATTTAACATTTGTACATTATCATAAAATGCTTCCTTTGATGAATTACATTGAGTTGCATTATCAAGAAAGGATTTTTTTCAGATGTAGCAATAATGAAATGGTCGTGGATGATATCGAACGCATCTGTCAGTTCATCGTTTCCGTCAGTCCCCTAAACTGAAGGTCTGTGCATACAATCAAAAGTGGAAAAATAAAAACAAACATTTTTCAAGTTGGATTTGCATTGTCTGTGCCATCTGCTTCATTTAGTAAAGAGCTTTTTTCAGGAATACAAAATGGTAAAAGTACTAGCAGTTACACAGATACATCTTTAACACAGATATTCATTGTTAGAAGAATCAGAAAAATGTACTTCAAATATTAACAGTAAGTGTAATTTATATTTTGCATCATTTTTCTTGTCTTTTTATTTTAAAAAAACCTTTTTAATACGGTAAGGTTTTTTAATTACAGGTGGTTCCAAAACTAGTGGTCAGGTCCCTGCAGGGGTTGGAAAAAATCAATCTGACAGGTCCTGAGAAAACTAATGGCGTGGAAAGTCTAAGAAACAAGTTCCTACGTTTTTTGTTTTTTTTTTCTAATTCTGAGCTTTGAACTTTCTCGGTTTAAGACTCAGTTGAAATCAGGTTAGGTCATTGTCCTACCTTTTTTCCCCTCACATGTGCCATACAGACGAAGAACACGTGTGGATTAACAAGGATGCTACCTTACTATAGGGTGCAAGAAGCAGAACACAGGACAACAACACACTCCATGTGGATTCCCCTGAGTATCACCCACAGCTGCTCCCAGATTGGTGCAAACTGCCATGATCAGCAATGACCCAGAGTTTGTACTAAGGAGCTGGCGGGGTAAAGACCTTTTAATGTATGTTGTTCATTAAATGTCTTTGTTCTCACATCCACCTCTTAGGGGAAGTGACTGAAGAAAGATTCAGAGCTATAGTGCATTTGTGAAAATTTACCTATTTGACCTACAACTAAAATTAAACAACAGGTTTTCTATAAGAGGCCACAAACCAAAGACAGGGAACCACTGATTGGCAGTAAATCGTTTTAAAAACTCTTGTGTTGTTAGTTTTCAAGCATGAAAAGTAACTAGTTAATATATTGGTTTAAGTTTAGCTTAAGGATACTCACATGTGGCTTTATCAGATCTGAAAGCTTCACGTGGTCATTTTCAGTCAAACGGTTCCAGAAACTGTTGACCATAAGGAACTAAAACTCAGCAGCTATTAGGATGTTTCCACTGCAAGAATTCAGAAAATATGGATATTCACACATTCTCTACGTACTGTTTAAAGAAACTAGTGACCATGAGTGACTATGACTCTTTTCTGACAGCACTATATAGTAAATAAACTGATACAATCAGCACCTATTAAATAGAAATTTCAGACAATAATTAAATAGGGTTATTACTAATGCTTTCTTGAAGGTTATGCTAAAAATAAATAACAGTAAACCCAAAAAGGAGTAGGTAACGTGGCATTCCTAGTTTAGCTTATATGATTAGTTCCTTCTGGTCAACAAAAGACATAATTTATGTTAATGAAAAAATTTAAAGTTCTACTCTAAAATAAATCCCCACAGCTCTAAACAGCAAAACTCAAGAGCTGCTTTGGAGTCTTGTTTTTCACCTAGGCGCTTTAGGCTCCACAGTCGCTCTTATTTGGCTAATCTTCAGTTTTCCCTGCTGTAGGAATTTAGTTCCCAATTTAACTCCACTAACATTCCTAGATCTGTTGAGTCTAAAAGACAACAAACCCATCAGACCATGAGAGAACAGAAAAAGTGGTCTTATATTTAATCTTTTAAATTTTGACTGATCAACTAAAACTTTGTCATGGTTTCAAATAACACAGCTTTCTGTGCACATTCATTTACAGCATCTTAATGATGGGTTTGGTAACAGCATCTCTGGGTGACTCTGAGACTGAGGTGAAGCTAAGGACCGTTTCTCTTCTTTTACCTCGCTCTATCTCCTCTCAGACGTCTGTTATGTTTGTGGCGTCCTTGCGAGCCATGATCTCGTACACGCTCTCTCTGAAGCTGCTGTCCGAGGTCAGGCGTCGAGCGGTCTCCCTCAGCTCCTCGATGCTGCCGTCAGCGTTGGCTACAGCGAACGACTTGGAGTGTTTCACTGTAGCGAGACAATGAAATGTGGAGCTCAGCCAATGGAGTGCTCCATTTGGGACAACGACATTTCAGAAATGTATTGCTTTAATCATTTGTCACGAAGACAATGTGTTGCTTTTCTTGATTTTTTTAATAAATAGTATTAGGCAGAGATCTGGGGTTTTTGGACTGGTAACTGGGGCTCTGAAAAAAGATTAACTAAACAATTTCTCAGACTCTATGGCAAAACCTAAAATAATTACTATTATTTAACAGTCTGTAACCGTAATACAAGTAGAAACTCAATAAAATGGCATTGGATTTTTGAACACTTTAGAAAGAAAACTTAAACACTCCACAGAGAGAGCCAAATGTACCTGAGAGTAGGGACTTGAGAAGCATGATTCTTTGGTGCTTTATTATGCTATGATGATTATTTCATGATATTACTTACACCAGTGACGCTTCGAAGCTCGCCTCTGGATTCGGCAGCTCTTAATTCTGCGCGCAGCAGCTTTGTGAAGGTATACTGCATTCTTCATTATGGCTGGGAGCTTTGCCTCAATTTCTGCTGCACAGATACACTCCTCAAAGAACCCTGGATACACACAATCAGATGCATTCGTTATAAAGAGGATGCTCTGCCTTCAAACATGTACCCTCAGGCAGGGTCCTGATTTCATGCCTTAGTGGTAGCTTGGAAACTTACAATGACAGGTTAAAATATGGCATTGTGGTAAAAAAATTACAGAATCAGTTCTAGTACATTTATCTAGTAAATTTTTTGTCTACTGGAATATTTAATAAGAAATGATTGAGTCATATTTTCTAGTGAACATACAAAGTCACAGAGGTGTGAGAAGTGCCAAATTAAATCAGTTTCCATGGCAATAAAACGACTATCCCTTGTTCTGCGTGTGCATGATCCACCGCCACAGTCAGATTTCTCCAACAACAGACTTAAGCTCTTTGAATTTTTCAGTGCACTTAATGCATCATATATTGACCAGATAACTACACCCAAACGGATAACAGTGCATGCACTCACTCCTCAGCTGCGTGACGTCGCCCTTCATCTTCTCATCTCTCTCTTTGCTATGCTCCAGTGAGTTCAGGCCTTTCTCCAAGTTCTGCAGAGCCTCTTCAGCCTCTTTTAGCCTCCTCTCCAGCTCCATCCGAGACTCTATCTCTGCCTGGGCAAAAGGGGGAATAGAAAGCCAAGTTTATTTAAGACCTATACTGTAGAGGATTTTTAGTCCATAGTATCCTGATCAGTTGCTGATGTGTTTTTGATGCGAGTTTGAAAATTGAACTTAAACAGAATAAATATTGATTGATGTTAGCTTTTGTCCAAAAACATCTCTGTAAAACTCAATTATGTAGACATCTATAGTGTTAGGCTATTCCACATGTAGGTATTCTGCATCTGAAACTGCTCATCTGCACTTTACAAATAATCAACTTAAGCTGAGGCCTGAGAAACAGGGATGCAGAAGGAGCCGTCTGAGCAGGTAGACTAAGGTGATTAAGCACAGCAGGCAGAAAACAAATGTAATTTCAAACAGAGAAATTAGACAACAAATGAGAGTGAGAAACCCCGTCAATGCAATGCATACTTTAAAGTCAGGGAGATCAGACTGAGTGTGATGGGCGAGCCAGCTGATTATAGGCAGGATGCAATAGAAACAACTGACAGGATGTCATCATCACTCTTTCTAAGTCTTTAGTGGCGTTAAGGGTGTTTTTATGAGGATTTTACATTCAGAATGTTTTAATTGGCCAACATAAATAAAGGAATGTAATTATTAGAAGACTTTGAAATATTTTGAGATGTCATGACTGTTAAAAAAAAAATTATGATTTATTCCATTTAATTCCACAACACTAATACATGCTAGCTGTACCAGCTGTGATTTTGCTGCTATACAGCCACTCAGTAATGTATAATTTGTGAGACAGATGCCTTATATTGTGTCATTTCTTTTAGCAACAGTTATTGAAAAAGTTAGCTTATTTTTCTTATCTTTTTTTATGTGAATATAAATTTACATTTGCACTTTTGTCTTGCATTTGGATGCAATGTAAAAAAAAAAAAAGCATTTGAGTAACTTTTACAGAGTCTGTAGCAGTTGTGATGCAGTTGTTACGAGATGCTACACTGTTGTTATATGTGTTAAAATATGATATTATGTTTCCAGCAAGCTATGCTGTAGGGTCTGAAGTGTCACACATCAATACATACACAGACTCATCTAAATATCTAAATTCTTTGGAAGTTGTGAGAGAAAAAAAAGTTCCACTCAAACTACATTTAAAGACTAAAGTCTGCTGGCGGATTAACGCAGTGATCTTTGAAAAGGTGTTTCATTAACATGCAGGCTGAGAGCTGCTGAGTCACACCGTGTTACCTTGAGCTCAGCCTCAGTCTGCTGCTTGTCCACACTGAGCTGAGAGAGCGAATGCTGCAGCGTCCGGGCCTGAGACGAGTAGTACTCCCTCTCCTGCTGCAGGACTACAGCCAGCTCCTCATTCTCCCTGATCCTGAATAAAAGAAACCACACTCAACATTAAAAAGGAAGCACACACAAAACCCGACCAACTTAAAGGAAGGGTTTGGTCTGTGGGTTTTTAAACAACACTGCCTGTATGGTGGATGCATCTGTCAGTTTTCTTACGGTCATGCTGCTCACTGAGCTCTACAGGAGACACATGAATGTACACCTCAGGTCATTTCTGGGAAGATCTGGATTTTTTGTTTAAAGATAATTTATCCATGAGTATTTAGTATCTGCTTAAAATGTATTTACTGAACTAGTTTTTGAGGTTTTGGATCCCAAAGGTTCAAAGTATTCCTTACAGAATAATTATGTTCCATGGTTTATTTCTGTTTTCTATCTGTGGAATTAAATGAATTCCTGAATGTCAAATAAAACTGAGAAAATATATACTTTCATCGTGATACAAGTATGAAAAGGGGCAAACACTGTATAAGTAGACGAGTATAAAAAAGCAAAAATGCATCTACAGTTAGTAGACATTGTTGTGAGATCCATTCATGAGCATGCAGGGTTTAAAATCTCATCAGCAGCATCCTTTATACTACATTTAATGTGATCCAACATATCTAGCGTGATACAACAAGCGAAGCAATGTATGAGAATGTTTTCAGTCTGATTATGTTACATAGTGTTCATGTGACAAAAATACTGCTGTCAGTCCAAATGTTACGTAGGAAAAATGGCTGAGTAAAGGTCAAGCATACGGAAAATGCAATGTTATAGGTTTTAGCATTTTGTAACTGAACATTAGTGCTACACAGTCAATAACAGCTGCCTGTAAAACTTCACTTACGGCCGCCAATCAATCTGCTGGTTCTTTTAGGATCAATACACATTTCCACTAAGAGTTACATCCTGTAATACATTATTATAGAAGTTCCCTGTCAGACTGTTTTTTGTGATATCCTGGTATGATGTATGATTCATCAGTCAAAGAATATCAAAACAGAACATGGTCTTATTTGATGTACCCTCTAAAAAGAATCAGAGAAATAAAAATCCTAAAATATTCCTTGCTGACTCCAACAATGCTCTGCCAGTAATCGTTTGCTCTTGAGGTTACACCCACTTATCCTCAGCCTGATCTTTCTCCTTCAGCAGGATCTTCATTTGCTCCTCAATGTGATGCAGGTCCTGCAGCAGGTCACCGTCCTCAGACTCCATGCAGCTTTTTTCTGAGCTCTCCACCTCCGCCTCCTTCTCCTCCTGCTCCTTTACTCCCAGCAGCTGCAGCGTTCGCTGTTTCTCCTGGGACAGCTCCTGATGAAAAATGAAAAACAGGAGAGATACAGATTTTGCTTACTTAAAAAAAAAAAAAAAGTTGATTTGTCACATATACATTTTTTAAAATCCCCTATTTAATACTTCATATAAGCCAAGTGAGAATCTTTTCATTGAAATCAACTTTGTTTATTGTGTCCAACATACTGTTTTAAACCTGCCTGAAGTTATTTTAGCACTAAGTACAACAACAACAAAAACATAACAAGCAGCTGGATAGCGTGGTAGTGAGACTACACGCCTTTGGAGCGGTAGTCGCAAGTTCGAGTCCTGGCTGAGGATAACTGTATCCAGTTAGGGTCCATTCGGGAGAAGGGTCTCATGGCCTGCTCTCCCAGTTACATGAGGTACAACACACATGCTACGGCCAGGACATCAGGGGGGTATCATCATCATCCCCGCCTGACCAACACTTGAGGAGGTTGTGGTTTTAAAGTAGTTAGTTCAGTTCAGAGTAAAGTAGCTAGTAGTAGAGGTGATGTGTAGAGCTGGGGAGTGGCCCCTGTGACCTGACCCCCGGATAAGCTAGAAGGTGGATTAGGTGGTCTGAAATCATGTAGTGTGTCGTCGATTCCTGTATGATACAGGAATAGGTTTTCAATTAAATACCTCGAGGGATTTTTGCAGTGTGACCGTCAAGCTGCTCAGCTCTTCTTTTTCACGCTCGACACCTTTCAGGGACTGAGCTGTGCCATCCAGGTCGCTGCAGTTCAGCACAAACAAACGTGGAAGTAAAACAAAACAGACAAAGAGATGGGGATAAAACCGTATTTAACCTGCGTTAAATCAGCACCACTACAATGATTGAGCATGGAGAATTAAGTTGAACGTATCAAGGCTGAGTGTGTACAGTTTGATCTGCTCCTGCTCCGCCTTTAGCTCCACGACCACTTCTTCAAACTTCTGTTTCTCCTCCTCCAGGATCTGGTTCAGACGCTCCAGCTCCTGCATGAACAAACAAACTGCATAACTATTAAAACATAACACATCAATGATCTCATGATGAAGGTGACTACTACATCTGCATCTTTCATTTTATCATCTCCATATAAAACCTAAATGATTTGTTTATTTACAAATCAATACTAATCTCTTAATCCTTGAAAGTTCACCTCTCTCTGAGCTCGTTGATGACTAAGCTCCTCAGTCTCTTCCATCAGTTTATCTGGAAGAAGAAATAAATATATTGCTAATACCCTGCCTTCACTTGTAAGACCTTTGAAAGGTAAATTTATTCAGATGACCTTTCTCCTGCTTACCCAGGTATTCTTGCTTCTCTTTGGCCAGCTGCAAGCCCTGAGCCTCCAGACTTTCAATCATCGCTTCCCCCAGCTGTGCATTTTTCCATGTGCTGTTGGGAAGATGCAGTGATTTGAGAAAATCAAAGCACTATTAGCAAAATTAAAACATTCAAATGCTTTTAAAAAGCTGCAGCAGACAAAGGAAGCATGTTTTTAACAGCAGAAGAAATGTGTCTCAAAAATAATCATTCTGAATGAAGTAAATGAATTACTCACACTTTCCCTGACTCATGGAGCATCTCCATCCACTGGACCTGCTCCTCCTGAGACTCAGCAGCCAGCACTATGGTGCCCTGGGGGCCAGACACACTGTGTTTTACATGTTAGCAGCTAATAAATGATCGTTTCATGCTGTAAAATGAATTTTGGCTGGGGCGGTGCTGGTAGTGTGTCTCTCTACAGCTCCAGTCAGTTAACTATGTGCAAGTTGTTTGACATGTTTATTTTTGTAGAAATTTGTTGTTGCGTGTTGTCTGTGTGCAGCTTTTTCTCCACACGCAGCTTCACAGATGACAAGTTTTAGACTTACATGACATTAGTTTGTTAAACACTTGGGTGCAGTAGAAAAAAAACTGTAACCACAACATTAATAATTAACATCTACCTTATTTTAGAGTACTTCATCCTGGCATACGGATTTCTAGCTTAGTTTTTGGTGTCCACCAGCTTATTTTAAATTTGATTTAAACTTGCAATCATTTATAATGTAATGGGAAAAGATTTTTGTTCTTACAGAGAAATCTTCAAGGTTGATGATGATGGCAAAGGGCATCCCCAAGTCTTCATTTGCTGACACCACACATCCTCCCAGAGGAATGACTCCCTAAGTCAGGAAAAGGTTTTGTTTTTTTGGTCATTTGAGTTCATTTGATCTTTCAAAACTAAACTAAAATATCAGAAAACAAGCACATCTCTAACTTTTGCTCAATTTTGTTATTGTTACCAGAGATACTGCAGCTGCTCACCTTGGGGTGAATGTTGAAGTACCTGTTGGTCTCAAAGTTTCTCTTCTCACTTTCTGCATAGTAGAGCAAGAAGCTGTCTTTGATGATGAAGAATCTTTGTACCAAGGAAACAATGAAAGCAAGACTGAGTGAGTCCTGTGGGGCTAAAAGGAACCAACGTCTGGCATCGCTCTAAGTTTTAGTCACTCGATTGACTGAATATAAAAATGTTTTTGCTGATAACCCATTAACACTTTTCTCTGCTTGTTTCTCTTTATGCAAGTTTTTCAGTCTTATTGCACACACGTCTTTTGTAATATCTTTACTTTCTCATTACTGAATTCATGCTATGTTAACACACTCAGCCTAGGGACTCAATTTTCTTTTACTGCTGCTGCACTAAATAATTTTGTGGTTTTGAAAAAGTTTCTGTTTAAACAACTGTTGAGTTGCTTTGGGTTAAATAGCAGTGACGAGTACAGTTATTTTGTGTATGAGCTGCTGTTTTCTGTCCATTTTATTTTTTGGAGCATTAAGAAGAATATTCATATTTTTCCTAAGTCCACCGGTCCAATCATCAGTCTGTTCATCACACCAATCATAACACAGAGAAATGTGTGGCAAGAGTGGAATCATTTTTTTTTATGTATTAAAATATAAAATTAAGTTTAGAGTGTTGTGAGAGCACATGTTTTATTATTACAGACATACTATAAGTATAATCTGGATGAATATAATATATAATAAACCATTTTAAACCAGTTTTTGTTATATAACATAATCCCATTTATCGATCTGTTAATCAGAGTACTGCAAACAGGTCTACACACTGGAATGATAAAGCCTTCTTAAAATAAGGATGTTTGTTTCAAAGAGTCATTACATTAAATCTGACACATATAAAAAGAGACACAAGAAAATTAGTTCATTTACAGTTCTGTGCAAAAGTCTTGAGCCTGCCTTTATATTTTGTTAGGAAAATGGGAAATAGGTACAATTATTTATTGAAAAATGTGCAAACACACATGTAAATAGAGTCTATAGAGCAAAAACAGAGTTTGTGCAATTCTAACAAGTTTGAAATTAACATGAAAAATATTTGGTATGATTTATCACTCCAAAAGACCTGTTTCGACTTATTTTCAGTCTAGTTTTTATTTAATTTGGCACGCACCAGCATTTTCTCTTTGTTTTCCTTCCTTAAAAATGGCTTCTTGACAACCGCTCTACCACTGAGACCATTTCAGTAAACAGTAGATGGATCAACTGCACGGCTAGAAGCATCTCTCAGGTACCATGTCAGGTCTTTGCTGGATTTTCTTCCCTATTAAGGATGTGACTGTCAGACAGTACAGATAAAGCTTTAGGCCTACCACGTCCTCTTTTGTCCTCAATTTGTCCAGTTTCCTCACAGGACATGCTGCACACCATCTAAACAACTTTTCAGGTAGCGGCACTTTGTTGTTGTAAAAATAGTTCTTTGCCAGATTGTTTGTCATGTGTAAACTCAGCATTAGTTCATCATTCAATGTTTGAATGATTCATAGGTCAGTGTGAACACACAGCATTTCATCACAATACAGAAAAACACTGAAAGACCTTCAGAAAGCCTTGTAGTCTCATTCCTTGGAAACAAAATATAAAGAAATGAATAATAACTCAAGGCTTTTGCACAATACTGCACTAGTTTAGGGAGTGGCTTTGTGAGTTTGGGTGGGACTCATAACGGAAATGACTGACTAAGAGATATATTTATTTTAGAAATTAATCAAAACTAGTGAATAAATTGTTAACATTTAGTTTCTAGTATGAATACATCCTACTTTTCCAACACTAGAAGATGTTCCTGTCTTTAGAAAAATCTCCTACAACACATCCAAATGTGTAATACTCGTCCTGACTTTCATTAAACTATTTAATTTTCACCCCAAAAGCAGCTGTGGAATATGCTGGACTATTAACACTTAAGGCTGATAAGTCTTTTACATACATTTCATCCCACTGGTTGGGAGATTTATATTAAACAGCTGGTAACGACAATAAAACCTACTAAACCAAATTTAGCACAGAAATCCAAAGAAGCACTTACTGAAAATTTTAGCGACCTTTATGACACAAGCAGCTGGGATAGGTTACAAATGGTGTGCTGCAAATGGACTCTCTGGATCCACCATATATTGTCGTTTTAACTGTTATGTAAACTAAGAGCATTACCATGACTCAAGATATCAATCCAGGCATTTTGACCAAATTTAAACTGCTCTCAGGATATACTGAAAATGCGGGTGTGGATAAATATTTCCTGTTATTATATAAAGCAATCCTCTAATACAAAACATGTCAAAGTACAGTTTACAAAATCCTATTGCTCTCTTCTGGGATTAAAAATAAAGAAGTTTAATCAATAAGCATTCATAAAAGATAATAAATAAAACAATTATTGTCAATTTATAGGGAAAAATTACTCCAGATATTTTACCTACAATTTGTAATGCAAATTAAAAAGTTTCATTTTTTCTCAGTATGCAAGAATTTTTATTTTGCAGCTGTAACAGCCAATAAATGAGTTCTAAATACAACACAGCTAATTCAAACTTTTAGTTCAGACTTTGATACAGGAGAGAAAATTCTAACCACTTCCTAAACATGATTGTTTTGTCGCTGTCAAGGGGCAGCCTGCAAACTAAAGAAAAAGCTGAGGCATCAAGAGAATTGATCACATTTAGCTGTAGGATCGAAACAAAACAACAACTTAGTCACACCTCACCCTTACCTGCGCGACCACTTGGCTGATGGCCGACCGAACGGCCTCTTCCAGAGCACGCCATGCAGCTGCACTTTGGTGCTGATGTCCAGCAATTCAGAGTCTGACTGCTCCATTGATGACCAGGGCGAAAACCGAGAGTTCCTGGATGAAGACGAGAACATCCTCTGTGGCTTCCCTCGCCCTGGGAGGTGGGACAAAAACGATCAATAAAATAAAAATAAATAAACAAAGCACAATGCAATCACTCAATAACAATTAGTCCAGCAACACCCGATAAACACACACATACACGCACGCATACACACATAGAGGTGCTGCAGGCACAGCTTCAATACAAAGCAGGAAAAGCAGAAAACAAATCCCAATAACTCAGCAGGGCGGAACGATGCAGCTGCCAATACGCTCATCAGCTGGAGGCAGACTGACTGCACAGCGATGATGAAAACAGGATGGGGGGGGAGGGGGGGGGGATACTGGAAGGCAATGGGGGAGGGAGAGAAGCTTTAGGAATGAGTTGCTAAATCTGAAGCCAGTCGATATATTCCAGCCAGTAAAAGCTGTTATTCAGATTACAGTATTTGCAGAGAGGAGCAGTTTCCAGTTATTGGCAGGTATGAACTCTCCAGTCTCTCCATCAGTCCATCCTGCACCCTAGCAGTGAGTTAGGAGGAAAGCCATGGTTCCACAACTTTCTATTAAAGAAGATGAAGAGTCAGAACAGTTGTTGTATAGCTTTAGTGTCACGGGTATCAGATTCATTTACAGAACATGTGTCCGAGTGGATGGACGGAAGATTATAAAGATACCGATAGTTCAGCCTTGAAATCCAGGACAGATAAATGCTGTGTAACTGTAAGGCAACAGTTGCAGTCTGAACCTCTGTGATTTTATTCAGACTCTAAAGTCAAAGTCAAAACATGTTACTGACCCATTATGTTTGTAAGTTAAATGATCAGACATCATCACCAATTAAAAAAACTTTAATTTAGTCATCATAAAACACGCTCCTTTACAACTGATTTTTACAATCAAAGTATGGAAATAAGGCAGACCCCTTTAGGAATGATAGGAAAAGAAGAGAAAACAGATTCACACCGACCTCCACCGAAATTAACTATACAACTATCAGCCTGATATCCCCACCCCCCTTGATTGAGATAATCAGCCCCAATATGAGCCTTTATCTTTAATCATGAAATGCATTTAGATCATTTTAAATCTGAAGGGGATGTGCCTTCAGCCAATTAAACCCCAGTATTTTGGCTGGAAAAGATGATGAAGCCTCGAGTTGAAATATTAATTAAAAAAATTTTTTTTTTAATTTATACTTTTGAAACTGATGGGATCATGTGTGAACAAACTACATTCTGAATAAGAAGTTATAAAGAGATATCTTGCAGCCAACTCTAGTCTCCAAACTTTAAAGAGGCTATTTAACCATCATAAAGCTTTTTTCCCTGCAATGTTAATTAAATTGAATCAAGCCACAAACCAGACCCCACATTAAGTTTTAAGGTTTTCTGTAAGGGATGAAAAAAAGCTGTAGATTGCCGTAGTAACTCAAGTTACAGAGATATAATGGTACATAATGAGGCTGCCTACTAGTGTGCCAAGTTGTCAAGCATCACAGTGGAGGGGGACGGTTCCCAGTTCCCTTTAGTACGCACAAACAGTTTCTCAGAAAAAAAACAAAAGAGTCATGCAGCTTCTGGTCTGCATGCAATTTCACCCCACCTTCTGTCACAGTCACTCAAAAAACAAAACAAACAAAATAAAGCCTAAAACAACACGCCGTGCTTCTTCTCATACAAGTTAGAATTAATTCACAGGTTGTGTGTAAAAGCCTTAAATTTATACATAAATCAAAGACCCCTCAAGTCAGTCTGTAGCTTGTTGAGTTGGTACTGCGAAGACGAGTTCGTCGATGTCCAAAAGTTCAACATAGAAAAAAAAGAAACTGTAATTGAGAGTAAGCAGTTCTGTCTCACACAGGAAATCCCCATGATTGTGGAGGGAAGAAGTTGCTTTGTACAGTATACATACATATACAAACACGCGAGCTCTGCTGTGAGCAGGCACAGTGATACAGAGGATATCCAAAATCAGCCTACTTACATTTTAATGGTGCTGGAGCAGAGAAGTAACTGAGGCAGAGCAGCATTTGGGACCCTCTAACTTTCAGATCTTGGTGCGTGAATAACATAACGAGCACCTTTATGATCAAGACAAACCCTCTGTACACATTTCAGACTTGGTTGCACTGCTGGCAAAGAAGTGACCTGGCCTCAATTTCACCTTTTTGGTGATTATTGCTGTAAGTATAATTACTTAATAGAGAGTTAACCCAAATAAAATTCTCCTCAAACAATCTTTAACAGGTCTGTTCTCCTGTGCCCAAAAAAGTTTTACCCAATGAATGCCCTCGAGCAAGACAAATCCCTCCACCACCTGAAAACACTCTACAACACAGACTTATCCCAAGTTTAAATATAAACTAAAGACATTTTAAAGAAAAGTGACAGTTGATGTTCAGATGGGAGGCTAGTTGTGTTTGTCGTTATGCAGGATTTAAAGGAAACTGTGTCGCATAAACAAAGAGCTTGTTACAAATGATTTCTCTAGCGGTGCCGGACACTCCACTTGCTAGACAAACTCACTAGCCACGGAAAAACTGTTACAAGCATCTTGCTGGTTAATCTGTCTGACCTACTGTGAAAACATGACCTCTGGCAAGAAGAAAACATCTTGTACAAGCCAGTGTTGTTTGGGGGCCATCCTCTTCAGAGATCTGTTTCAGGCTTGCTAATATGGCACTTAATCAGATCCAATCCATCAGTATTGTTGCTAATTTATCTACACTCTATACAATTATTTTTAAAAAAGTGAGTTTCACTGCTTTTGAGATATCACAAGTTTAATCAAGACTAAATCTCACTGTGCAACTGCCATCTAGTAAAAGGTCTCTAATGAAATCAGGGCTATTTTTCGACTTGGACGAGCACTATAACGCAACACTGAAAAATCCACAGTGACCTAAATGAACTCATCTAAAAGATCCACCTCTGGCATCTTGGAAAAAATTATTTCTGGTGGAATTAATGCATACATACAGTAGATGCATTATACTTTGTTGTCAGTGTCATTAGATAAAATGTCATCATGTGCACTGGTTGTCACTGGAGCAACTCTGATTTTCACTCGTTCCCTGCTTCGAGTTCATTTTCAAGTCATAAGAAGTCCCTGCACAAGATCCATTAACAGACACCAAGCAATAAGACATCTGAATCCACCGTGATTGAAGTCTTTGTTTCAGCTTCTTCCTCCTGTACACCCATCTAAAATCCATCATGAGCTGTGGGTCTAATGATGGTGACCGATGGACAGCACCAGCGGAATGAGGCAGCCCAGCACCAGAGCTACCACCTCCACCTTGCTCAGTCCCTTCCCTCCGTTTCCTCCCGCAGGAGCGTGGCTGTGACCGCCGCCTCCCACCTCAGGCAGAACGTGGACCGTTGCCACGTAGAGGAATGTGCCAGCAGAGAAAAGCATGGCGACACCTGTGGCGTTGACGTCTGACAGTGCTTCTTTGCTGCTCTAAGAGGGGAAGAGACAAGAACAGTGTAAAGCTTAAAGTTCTCCTTTTCTAGTGACTCCAGTGTTGATGAAATAATGTCTTTGTAGTATTTGGGCAGTAGTGTAAAAATCACAATACAGACTAGTAAGATGACAGCTGGATATCTAGATCCTCAAAGTACTGTATTGTACCAAACAGTTAACACTGAAAACTAAACATCTAGCAAAATGAAAACAGATCAGTGCAAAAATATAATAATTACCTGACTGAGACCTAAAAATGTGAGCATGGCGAGGACTGGCGCTGCCAGGGCAAAGACCAAGAGATGTTTGCGGATACGATTTCTCTCGAGACCGGCATGCATTAGGAAGGATACAAGACCAAATGCTGCTGGCGCCTACAATCAACAAAACAGAAGAGTTTATATAGCAATTTACTGCAGCAAACAACAATCAATTCTTTTACCAGTTAATTTGTAAATTAATGCTGAAAAAAAAACCCTCTGTGTATTATAAACTCAGTAGCTGTACTTAAATTTAATTCATTTGCAGGCCTGCAAAAATTAAAGACACCCTTACTGCTTCCTTAGGATTTATGGAGGAGTAGTAATTGATCATCATTAAGTGTAAGCACCTCTATAAATGCAGCTGTTTTGTCAGTTTGCTCCTCTGCAGCGATCAGCAGCAGAAGCAACTGTTTGTCTAGGAAGGGTTGTAGGTCCATTTTTATACAACAACAAGCAAACATATCCATCATCCTTGAGTGACAATGATTATTCACAAGAGGAAAACATTCAAGATATCAGACAATCTTCCTAGACATAGACAACACAGCAAATTCATCTCAGGGTCAGACTGTACAGTGCCCAGATAGATTGCAAAAAACAAACAAACCAAGAGCTACATCTCAGACTCTACAGCCCTCAGTCACAATTTTAAATGTTAAACACAGAACCTATACTGAATGACTATAGGTTCTGTGGAAGGGTTGCTAACAGAAGGAATCTTCTCTTTAAAAAGAACATGGCAGCCTTGCTTAAGTTACCAAAATTGGATCCGATCAACCCACAAGACTTCTGGAACAATGTCCTTTAGATAGACAAGACTAAAGTGGAGATGTCTGGCCATAATGCACAGCGCCACATTGTTTTGGAGAAAATCAAACACAGCATATCAAGAAAAAAACAGATCATACAAACAATGAAGAAGGGTGGTGGAGAAGTTATGATTTGGACTTGTTTTGGAGCCACAGGACCTGGACACCTTGCAGTCATTGGTAAACAAATCGAAGTATTCAAGAGTCAAATGTAAGGCCATCTGTCTGACAACTAAAGCTTGGAAGACACTGGAAAATGCAACAGAATGACTGAAAAAAAAGAATCAAAGTGTTGCAAAGTCCAGACCTCAACATGGAAAATATCCGGCAAATCTATGAGAGACTAATAAAGTCACACAGAAAATAATTACTGAAGTTATCACATCTAAAGATAGTTCTACAAGCTACTGAATCACTGGGCTTGTTAGTTTTTCACAGGCCTGATCAAACTTTATTTTTAAGATGCCAGTATACGTATACACACAAACAAACAAAAAAAAAAATCAACCACTGACTGCATTATATATGATGTATATTTACCTTATGCAGCATGATAGCTACAAAGACAATGAGCTGAACGCTGGTCTGAGAGGTTGAGGCAGCAGCACCCAATGCAACACCATCAGCTGCAGGCAAAAAAAAAAACCAGAAAGGTACAGTAACTACTGGAACACTTAAAAGCAATGATTCGTCATTAAAACAGCAATAAAATCTGGATTAAACTACT